GACATACAACGACTACATTGAGCAGGCCATGATCACGTTACAGAACAAGAAGGGAAAGAAGCGATTCCTGATGCCGTTCACCAAACAATGGGATCATCAACGAGAGCTGCAAAAATCTGGCAAGGTATTCAAATTTGGATCCTACAAATACTCTGCGCGCACCCTGGCGGACCGAGGTGTTCTGGTCGCCTGGAAGGGCTACTCCGAGCGGCAGTGGGATCGGGTCGACTTGACCATCTCCAGTAACGAAGTTGGCGTATTCACCATTGACGGGAGCAGCGGTGTCATGATGATTCCCGGCGCCAACGCACAGGTACCGCTGGACGACTTGCTGCAGGCTCAGTTCAACAATACGCAATTCATGGACTTCTTTGATGGCCAGATGCGAGTCAATGTCAACCTTTTCTTGCATTTGATCATGAAGAAGTTCTATAATGAGTGAGAGTCATGGCTTATGGACTTGATGAGGGATGAATTGGGTGCACATTCTTATTGATATTATTATTTTCCTGTCTTTTTCTGTTTATTTTTCTTTTCTTATTGTTGTTAAGATACCATGGGTATTTTGTTGATTTCGATAGCGATAGCGTTCGGTCTATACGGGCGAATAACATGTACACAGTATGATACCACTCGATATGTATCAATTGTAAAACAATTCAAATTTCCAGGGAATCCTCTAAGTAGAAAGTAGAATCAAGTAGTGAATAATCGTTTATTGTAGCCATTGAAATATACAAGGCTTGGTCAGGGGTTGCCACGTGACGTGGCGCATTCAATCGGGTTGCCAGCTGGAGACCGGGCATCTTCCCCCTCCAACTGTACACGTTAGTCCTGAGGGATTTCTGATTCTTCCTGTGCTCGGCTTCCAATTGCCTGTGCAGCTATTGTCCTCTCTTTTAGATTCTCGTTCCCCGTACTTCTCCTACGACTAGCAGTCACCCCTCACCATGGATTTCTCCAACCTCAAAGAGCAGGTCAGCAACATGTCCTTGTATGACCTCAAGGCCGGGGTTCGCAAGGTACAGAATGGTAAGTTTGAATCTCGCTTGGTCCGACTGCATTATGGACAAAACCGAATCGATTTGCGTGTGTCTTACAATCTGCGGAAACTGATTTGACCGTTCCGTCATAGCTGTCATGAACTATACCGAGATGGAATCCAAGGTTCGTATGCAGTCGCCCCTCCTGCGCGAACAAACGTGGTCTTTTGCAGGGTGAAGACGAGAAGATTGCGCGATCCAATGCTTACGCAAGTCAGGTCCGGGAAGCTACAAACAATGAACCCTGGGGTGCCTCGACCACGTTGATGCAGGATATCGCCAATGGAACGCATAGCTAGTCAGTCGATGTTGCCCGATATTACCCGCACCAATGCGCATGCGCTGACTCTCCCTTATTAAGCCAATTACTCAATGAGATCATGCCCCTTATCTACAAGCGATTCACCGACAAGGCCGCGGAGGAATGGCGACAGATCTACAAGGTAAGAGAAGCATGGTTATTTACGCGAGTGTACTATGACTAAACCTATTCTTTTCCCAAATCATAGAGTCTCCAGCTCCTCGAATTCCTTATCAAGAACGGTTCGGAACGAGTCGTCGATGATGCACGATCCCACTTGTCGTTGATTCGGATGCTCCGGCAGTTCCACTATATCGACATGAATGGCAAGGATCAGGGTATCAACGTGCGCAACCGGTCGTCCGAGCTGGTGAAACTGCTGGGTGATGTGGATCAGATCCGGGCTGAAAGAAAGAAGGCCAAGAACAACCGCAACAAGTTCAGTGGTTTCGAAGGTGGTATGGGTGTCGGATCGGGCATGTCCAGCTCGGGCTCGGGCCGTTATGGAGGCTTTGGCAGCGACAGTATGGGGTACGGGGGATACAGCGGAGGTGTCTACGGTGACGGCGGCGGTTTTGGCGGGGAATCTGGCGGACAAGCTGGTGTTGACTTCCAGGACACCGGACGCCGGTCCAACCGCTTCGAAGAATATGACGAGTATGACGAGGCAGATGCCCCCGCACGCCCGCGTGAGCCTGCCGCTCGGACGAACACCCAAGCAAAGAAGCCCGAGCCAGCTCCTGCACCTGTGGAGGACCTCTTCGACTTTGGCGACGACGAGCCTGTTACTACCACAGCATCCGCCTCGACCGGCAAGCAACCCGCCGGCAGTGCTCTCAACATGCTAGACCCATCCCCAGCCGACGACGACGAGTTCGACGACTTCCAGTCCGCAACACCGGCTGCTCAGCCTACTCAGTCGTCAAATCAGTTCGCCATTCCCCCTCCAGCTTCCACTGCCAGCACAAGTTCGAACACCCAATTCGTTGCACCTCAGCCAATCTCCGCCTCACAGGGTGCCGACATGAACGGCCTAGTTGGATTCAAATCGGCCACCCCCACTCCCTCTTCCAGCGGGATCACCACTCCCCTTTCACAGATGGCCCCAATCCAACAGCAGAAGCCCTCCGGATACCAAGCTGCCACACCCAACTACTTCACCTCCGTCAGCGTGCCCCAACATTCTGGGTCCTCTCACGCTGCCACCCCCTCCATGTCTTCCCCCTCAGGCACAGCGAACAAGCCAGCTTCAGCAGCAGCCAAGAAGTCCTCGAGTGACGCTTTCGGCTCATTGTGGTCGACAGCCAGCGCCAGCGCCGGCATCCAGAAGTCCAACACCGGCACGAACAAGGGCCCTAACCTTGCCAGCATGGCCAAGGAAAAAGCCAGCGCTGGCATCTGGGGAGCCCCAGCTCCCTCCAGCACTGCCTCCACGCCCAGCCAACCCCAGCACAAGCAACAGTCTAGCTCGGCCTTTGATGATCTGCTTGGTTGATCAGCTAGCAAAACAACTCATCATCACTCCTCTTCTTTCCTCACTGAGTCCATGCCTCGCTTCTTACATTTGCGATATGTGGCCATGATTTTAGCATTCAGAATTCCAGATCTGATTTGGTCTTTTTTCCTTCTTCTGCTGTTTTTGTATACTCTATTCCATTCCCATTTGTCTCTTCTCCAGTTGGTTCACTACCTAGGTACCTCTACGTAGTGTTTTTCCTCTGCCGGGTGGGGCTTTCCTATCTTGGCTGCCGCCGCTTTTATGAGGGCGCTCAGAGTCCGACTCAGTGAGTAAATCTCAGTCCGGGCTTAAGCTTAGTGAGCTGCTTAATATAGTCACGTGACAGTTTTGTGAGCGCTTAGTGAGTGTGTTTGATTACTTAGAGATTTGTTAAAGGCATCTATTATACACTTAGTCCACTTTCACGACCACCCAAAGACAATATCACTCCGCCAAGAGAAAAGCCATGTCAGCTCATTAAACACACATCGTATATCCATGTATACCGGTCCAGGAAAAGCCGGCTTGTGTGAAATTAAGCCTCCTTGCTCCCAGCTAATTTCACCAAATCTCGACCAACGCTAGCATGGACTCCATCGTACGTGTATGCCACGAAGGGCATCAACCACCATACACACTCGACGGTTCTCTCAACTACTAGCATCCATCCTAAATCCCGGTAAGCGCTGAATAAGGTATTCTGAAAAGAGGGCCTGAATTCCTACTTTCAGCACCACGCGTAGTGTCTGGCTGGACCATCCACTGGCTTCCCACAGATACACCAAATGGTGCATCAGCGTAGGTCTTGATGCCCGACTCAATGTTTCTCAACCAGGTCCCGAACTGAATGTGTTTCCGGCCCCATGGACCGAGTCCTGGTATGACAGTAATTATGCTGTTCAGCATATATGTCTGAATTGAATCCCCAGTTTTGGAGGTTTGAAACGATTCGGCCTCGGATGATGCGGGGTCCGTCGGGACCTGTTTTACGTCTGTGATCACAGGATTTAGTTTGATGAAGCTCTGTTGATCGTGTAGAGCTCGAATGATCGAGTTTTGATCAACGGATTCGGGGAGCTTAATGGAAACTCTGCGGCTGTGAGAGGCACGCCAGTTGGTCATCAGCAGGAAGGGCACGAAGAGGCATGCCAAAAGTTTATAATGGACCATGTTCGAGGGTTCGGCTTTTTGAAGCAGAGATCATGGACCTTTAATAAGGGGACTGTGTGCTGAGTGCACAGACCGGCGGTGAAGTGAGCGCCCTGCCCTGTTGGCCCAGCCCTAGAGAGGGACACAAAGTATATCATATTGCATCATAATAAACGACCGTCGCTACCGCCTCACCATAGAGAGAGCCGCCCCACCGGCCCGGACAATTCGACGGGACCAGTCTAAAGATCAAACCAAATATACAGAATACTAAACAAGGAAAGTAAATTTACATAAGAAGATCTATACAATAACTAAACATTCACCAAAATTAATGCGATAAACTGTCCATTCTTTCAAGGACAAGAGAAAGTCGCGAGAAATAGGATTGAATATTTCTTAAAAAGAAACAAACACAAATATGGTTCAGCTGTGGTACGAGGGAGTGACTAGCGACGATTAGGCTGGAGTGTATGTAGTAGTATGCTCCATATTCAGCTCGCCTCCAGCTCATTTGTTGGTCAATTTCTAAATCGGGGCATGTCTGCCGATAAACTGTTCCCATTCGGGAAGTGACCTGCAGGCTATAGCAATTCTCGGGTTAAACTGTTCAGCCGGATCTGCAAACACGCGCATATCAAAAACTCTGCGTGGCCTTGAGGGTTGCCGCGGTCGATATCTGACACGTATCCTTGGAAGCCACTACTGAATATCATCATCCTGCATTGGCTCCAGAATGTAGAATCGGTGTTCATCACGCCTGATCTATACTCCCCTGTGTGATTGCATTCTTTCACCCAACCTTAAGCCCATATCAGCCGTGGTCTATTATTCATCAGCCGGTTCAATTCCCCTTCTAGCAGTCGGAATGCTCCAGACAATTACAGCTGCGCTATGCACCTTTTTCGGTCTCCGGAACAATCCGCTTCCTGATATTCCATACACCTCCTGCTTTCCTACCCTAGGTCTCCTGTCAGAGAAATGGTCCCATGATTTCTATTCAACGTCGATGAGGGCTCTATTCAACGCAGCTGCCGAGGAAGGAATATCCTGGACGCTTATCGGCAACGTGCCCTTGGTATACCTTCGAGACCCAACCTTGATCCGACAGGTGTTTGTCAAAAATGCGGAATCTATTAGTCGGTGCGGCATCCAGACCAGAGGTCCCTTTGGAACCGGCAAACGTATCATTCGCAGTGCCCTGATTACCGCTGACGGTGATGTCGCCAGGCATTGGCACGCTGATATGACCCGGGGTTTCCATAACAGACTTGCTATGGAGGGGTTTCATTCTAAGCTGATCTCGATCGCGGTTGGCCACGTTCAAAGGCTCCGAGACGTCGGATTGGGTGATAACCTCCAAAGTCACCTGCAGGATTATGCCATGGACGCGGTCTGGTGTCTGGGGCTAGGGTTGGAGAATGCCTCCGAGTGTACAAGGAATTGGGAGGAGCCGTTTGCCAAGTATGTACAGATGGCGGCTAGTATTTCGTATCCACTTCATCACACCGTGATAAATCTTCTATGCGGTCGAGAATTTGAAGAGCCGGATTACTACGAGAATGATCTCCATGAAAGGATTGAAAAGTGTGTCCTTCAGCTTCTGGAGGCCAACTTGGACCTCCTTAACCCGGAGGCCGTGAAACCCCGCGATCAAATGAACTTCCTCCAGAGTATATCCCACGAGACAGGCGGTAGCGCAGCACAACCCATCACCCCTGATGTTCTCGCCCACGCGAGGCAAATATTCTCCCACGGTTTTCCTGCCCCGACGCTTCTCCTCCTCTGGGCGCTGAGGGAGCTATCCCTGTATCCCGAGGTGAAGCAGAAACTCCGCGCTGAGCTCCAAGAAAGTAACTGGTACCATCAAAAGGAGCTGCAACTACTTTCGCGGCTTCCTTATCTCGATGCGGTGGTAAACGAACTGCTTCGTCTGCACCCCCCAATCCCGACTACTGCCCGGGCTATTGATCGCCCACTCAGCAGCAAACTCAATCTGGTGCCAGCTTTGTCATTCCTGTGGAGGCTCGTGTGGCTGTCTCTATTGCGATGTTACACCAAGACCCTCACATCTGGGGCCAGGATGCCTCACGCTTTCGACCGGATCGATGGGATGGACTCCTCCCGAATACTACGGAGAGCCAGTGCAAATACTTGCCATTTCTCACGGGGCACAGGCGGTGTCCGTGTACCGGTTTCGTCTTACAGCAAGTCAAAGTGTTCCTGGCGGTGTTATTGACGGAGGTGGACTTGGAAGTGACAAATGCCTCCACCATTGAAAAGAAACTGGGCCCGGTATCAGAGCCGACGGAACCCATGGCCTTTAGGGTCACCCCTATCAAAAACAATTAATTAGATTTGGAGATTTCTTTGATCACATTATGGATCGTAAGTTCAGAATTTAGTGACCTAGTTGTGTATAGTCTATAAAAGACACCCAGAATGAAGGAAACGGTGTTTTTGATATCCTTGTGTTTTTTCTATAGTCTAAATGAATGCCCCAACCACAAGTCAGGACAGCAAAGTGAAGGAGGCCAGCAATCAGTGATTCTCAATCCTTAGCGAGACAATCACGTAATGTATTGTAATACAATTGCTGGATCAACGGGCGATAGACATGGGCTACTATTTAAAAGCGAATAGATCTAGCGATGCAGTTCAAGCCTTGGGTTCATTCGTACATCTTCCATACACAGGTCCGTTGAATTAGAGGCCTTGTCCGTAGAACAAGAGCTTAGGGTAGCACTTCAGAGATTATGCGTGATATTGCGAATGCTATGACTTTTATTGAGACTATGGTTGAAATGTCAACCTACAATCTGCGGGACCTCTCGTCTTAAGAGCCTACTAGATCGACAATATCTATACCTATTAAGCTGGATTGATGTTATCCAGGGCAAGCTTATGTCAAATATCAAAAGCTGAATAGCAAGAGCGATGACCACTTGTTGGTAAGGTCGAAAAAAGCAGTGATGTTATGCTGGCGAAGCAGGCTCTCATAATGTCTTAGGCGCGCCAGAAGGTCTCTCTCGGGAAACCTCCGGCGTCGCTGGCGGATTGCTTGCTCGCACTGCTCACCAGCACGTATACAGTTGGCGCACGGGAATGTACGATCACACTTGATCTTGCGTTGCTGACACAGAACGCAGGCCAGCACGCGCCGAGTCTTAAAAGTGGTTGTCTGTTCAGATGGAGAGATCGGCGTCGCCATTATATGAGACTATAGATCCTGTTGCAGCAGTAACGTTGTTAATAGATCCCGGACCCCGAATCCCGGGTTGGTTGGGGGTAGAAGGAAAGGGAAGGGGGAAGTCGGGGTTTATAAGATCCGAAACGCACGCTACGTACTCCGTACTTGCTAACCTTCGCACTTTCTAATCCCCGACCATCGTGTTGATCTTGCAAAATGCGAAATCACCGGCCATATTTTGCCTCTTGGGCCCCTTTAAATATGGCCCTTTAAATATGGGTTTTCTTGTTATTAATTCTGGATAATATTATCCCTCAAGCATTAGCCGATTGATCGTGTCTTGGTTGGTGAAGCTACAGATACCACAATCACCATATCTCCTCCACGCACTTCCAACTCTGACAACACCAAATCCACTACGGTAGACGCTCCAGAGTTGATGAAGGAACATAGCGAGATGGCTACCAATGCATCCGTCAAAGACGATGGGCCAGCCAAAGCTAGAGGCCCTCCAGGTCCTCCAGGCCCGCCCGAAAATCAGTCCACACTTAGGGTTGTATGTTTGATCGTCTCGGCTTTTGTTGCCATGTTCCTCGTCGCGCTTGACAGAACAATTATCTCGACGGTATGTGTATCATACAATTACTTCAGCACAGTTCTAGTGCTAAGTTCTGCACAATTGACAGGCCATACCTAAAATCACCGACGAATTCAACTCCTTCGATGACGTTGGCTGGTATGGAAGCGCCTACTTGTTAACATGCTGCGCGTTCCAACTCCTATTTGGCAAGCTTTATAAGCTCTTTTCTATCAGAATCGTCTTCCTTGCCAGTATTCTAGTGTTTGAGGTTGCCTCTGCTATCTGTGGAGCGGCTCCGAATTCAGTCGCCTTTATAATCGGAAGAGCAATCTGTGGAGTCGGCGCTGCTGGTATTCTCGCTGGAACTGTACGTGACCCTAGTCCTATCCTCTTTGTACCATTTGCTGACAGATGGGCCTCAGATAATGTGCATCATTCATTCCGTGCCTCTCCAAAAGCGTCCACAAATTCAGGGATTGTTCGGCGCCCTTTTCGGCATTGCCTCTATCGTGGGTCCTTTGATTGGCGGTGCCTTTGCATCTAATGTGACATGGAGATGGTGCTTTTATATAAATTTGCCTATTGGTGGCGCGGCAATGGTCTTTATTGCTTTCTGCCTCAAGATCCCTAAGCAAGATATAGCGAGAGTCTTATGGACGGAGAAGCTGCTACAACTAGATTTCTTCGGCACTACACTTCTGGTATCTGGTGTGGTCTGTCTGGTATTGGCACTTCAGTGGGGAGGCCAGACCTACGCTGTAAGTTATGCGCACTATTATTTTCGACCATAACTGACAGTTTCTAGTGGAGCAATGGCCGCGTCGTGGCTTGTCTGGTTCTCATGAGCGTCTTACTTCTTTCTTTTGTTACTGTTCAGGTCCTCCTTCCAAAGACAGCGACGCTCCCACTACGCATCTTTTCGCAGCGCAGCATCATTTCAGCCTTCTGGCAGACACTCTGCGTCGGCTCTAGCAACTATATATTTGGTAAAAGCACCGCACTACCCAGTAACATACCCTGTTATTGACTTAATCATAGTGTACTTCCTCCCGATCTGGTTCCAAACCATCAAAGGCAGTTCGGCCGTGGAATCCGGCATCCGCCTGCTACCGATGATGATATCAATGGTGGTCGGCTCAATCAGTGGTGGAATCACAAACTCCAAAATCGGATACTACACCCCACTAGCTATCATCGGATCCTGCATCATGTCCGTCGGAGCGGGCCTGCTCACCACCTTTCACGTGGACACCAGCGAGGGAAAGTGGATCGGCTATCAGATAGTTTACGGAATCGGTCTGGGCTTGTGTTTTCAAGTTCCCAATCTCGCCGCTCAGACCGTTCTTCCGAAGCCTGACGTGCCATCTGGGTTAGCGCTAATGCTTTTCGGTCAGATGATCGGGGCCGCCGTCTTTGTCTCAGTTGGGGAGAATATGCTGGCCAATCAGCTCGTGAAGAGACTTTCCGGGCTGCCGGGCTTCAACTCCCATCTTGTCACCTCCGGGGGTGTCACGGAGCTGCTGAATACAATGCCGGCTGATCTGCACGACACGGTTCTCCATTCTTACAATGATTCTCTGCGGAAGGTGTTTCAGGTCGGTATGATTATTTCTTGTCTGACAGTACTAGGTGCGGCTACTCTAGAGTGGAAGAGTATCAAGAAGGGACAGCCAAAGCCCGATGCCGAGAATAAGGAGCCGGCTGGAGAGGGAAAGAGTGCAGAAGCGGAGGGCAAATAGATACCAGGGGGACTTTATCGTATTTGACCACTTGAATTGAGATTGAGATAGTCCAGTTTCTTTAGCTAGTTTTATACAATTGTAATTTAATTCCAACAAGATACTCGTTTGTATGACTGACTGTGTGGTTGAACGATCCAGAGTAGGAGGTTCTTTTATGTAGATTGTCACTATTATCTTCGCTTCATTACTAACTATCAAGAGACTCAAGGACAGGGGTTCATTTTCAAGAAGTCCAGATCGCTATGTATTCAGTATCCGATCGGAATAATTGACCGCATCTAGGTCCGTTCCTAGGTTTTCCTCAATCGGTATGAAACGGAATAAACTTGGCATGTTACGCAGCAGGTCTGTATGAGCGTTAGAACGAAGCAGTCAAAGACAAATTGACTACTTCATTGGCGGTCCTCGACCTGGTTGTTTGCTTACTAGAACCTCTCCATTTGAAGTATTCTAATACAACCCTAACGCTATGCCGCTTCTAACTAATCCCAATCACCGTCTAACAGATCCGCAACCTTCTTTCCAGCCAAAATATCCGCATGAATTTCCTCAATCGTCCACATCTTGAATTTATGGCCAGGAGGAAAGTTGGTATTCTCAAAATCGGTCCCCAACACCAAATGCGAAAACGCCTGCCCATACTTCTCGTAGACATACGCCTCAGGGTCGTGCTGGAATAGCCACTTAGGGAACCTGACCTTGACCTTCTCGGGATCCTTCTTCAGAACCTCATCCATGTCTACGGCACCGAGGTTCTCCGAATTGACAAAAGACATCTTCTGCACACAGCTAACCCGCTGGTATCGGAGTAGATTGTAGATGCGGGCTCCTAGAGGTGCACCACCTGGGGTGCCCCCAGAGCACGCGAGTTGCAAGCAGGCCGCCAGTGTCACGGCATCCTCGATAGCCAGTGTTCCGCCGCTGATGGAGGCAGGCACTGTGGTATGTGCCGCGTCCCCGACCTGCACCACCCGACCACCCTTAGACGTCCACCCTTGGCGAAGATTCCGCCACAGCAACGGCCAATGCACCGTTGCGCGCTTAGGCGTGTTACGGATCAGCCCTTCGATTGCAGGATTCCAGTCTGGAACACGGTGAAGCACCTCCAGAACCTCCGCCGGGTCCACGTCCGGGTCCCATGACTCGATCGGCTCATTCCCGCCCGGCTGGAGGAATTTATCCCGCGGCGTGAGCCCGTACGCCACAAAGTCCGGCGATATAAAAAGTCCCAGATGCATGCCCGGGCCGATCCAGAACTCATGGTTTGAGCCACCCTGCTCCACAAGCTCGCCCCACCGCCCTTTGAATGCTGGATCTTGCAGCGCTAGCTCCGTCGGCAGCGCCGCTCGATACACGGACATGCCACTTGATCGCGTGGGAACGTGATCTCCCGCAATGAGCAGGTCGGAACGCGTCTTAAATGCATCGGCCGCGACGACAAGCTGCGCGACGCGGACGCTGCCATCCTCCGTGACAACGCCCGCGACATTAGCGGCCTCGTCCTCGAAGTACCGTTCGACGCGCTGCCCATATTCGACTTTTAGGCCCACGCGGGCGACCTGACGCAGCAGCATGCGATAGAACTTCCGACGGACCTGATGCGGGGCCACGTAGGGTAGGTCTTGTCGCTGGGCGAGATGCTCCGGGCTATTGTATCCCAAAGTGGTTGGCCCTAGGATCAGGTCACCATTATGGCGCCGATAGTACATCACACTGTCTGACTGATCTTCTTCGAGGTCTCGACAGATATCGGGCCAGTGGCGGAGGGTAGAGATGGCGGAAGGCCCAATGACGATGATATCTCCTATCGATTATCAATGATCAGTTATATGCCTCGGTCATCCATCCAGACCAACAACGAACCAGTGTAGACAGGGCCGTGGCTTCGTTCCAGGATTCCTATCACATTGTGTCCCTTTCTCCAGCATTCAAGGGCTGTGATCAACCCAGCTAGACCTGCCCCGACAATCAGGACATTGAGGTACGTATCTGGAGATCGCTTTGGCAACTGGCTCGCGGTTGACGACCACTTCTGGGGATTGAATTCATCTTTATCCCCGTGTGAAAGATAACCATTTGACACCATTCTGTATATCTAATTTGATTATGATTCCAATTACGGGATGAGGCCATCAGTGAGGGACGGTGCAAATCATATATGTAAATCATATATGTGTATGGTCTTGCGCACGAGCACAAATAGACTGCCCGGAAGCCTAGTCGGACCGTCGGATATTTTTGTTGCTGTACCCCGGGCAATTTCTTTCTACTTCGGGAAATCTCAACATCCCGGCGTCATGGCAGGTTGTCGGCGATTTATGCCCCGAACCCTCGTAAAAAGAAGACTATTACCTCCACGCAGTTAGCACAATCTCACTGTAGCTACCATTTATAGATTCCGGTTTGTTTAAGGAATAAATAATTTCTAAAAATACATATTTCTCAACGTCCCCCCGTTGAACCATCCAAAGGAGTGCGAAGACCTCATAGCCCTAGGAGCTGGCAATGAATATAATCTTTTTTTGTTGACCAATCTCCTTTAAATGTCCTACTATTGGTCTATCAAACTCTTCTACAAGGATTAACTGGGCTCAATAAAGTAAAGCATCTTTGACCAAGATATTAAACCACGTCTTGTTCCCCGGTAATTTCCCTTTTAGGAGAGTAGGCAATCCATCAATTTCCCATTTTGTTTATTGCCGTGGCGAGCTTCTTGAATTCATATATTGATTGTCTTTCAGCAATTCTGTTTTATTCTATGTTGTCTCCGGTGGCTTTGACCATCGCGGTATCGAGCTAGCTCACAAAAAGTCAAGATATCTGACACCTGTCTATACATGACTGAAGTTCAATTAGAGCCGGCTTTTTAATGCGAATATAAAAGGCTCGCAATGAAGCAGACCTAGTCTCCCAGTATACCCGAACCGTGGGTATTTTACGGTTAGAGAACCCGATGGAACTCTATCTGGCAGTACATAGCACAAGTACAAAAAATAGTTTCCCTGGGAATCGAACCCAGAACCTTTCCGGAACATACGCTAGTCGCGCTTGTTAACGGAAAATCATAACCGCTAGACCAGGAAACTGTTAACAATCTACCTGGCAGTGTACATTGGATACAAGCACCTTCTCCTGCCACGGTATGCTTCCTTGGACAGTTGGACAGCAGAGCGGCTGATCCTATATCGATAACTCAATCACAGCCATTTTTTATTCCCAAAGTGACTGACAAAAGTTCCACCATAGGTTTCCACGGTCGCTTTGTCAATGACCTCCAGCTGCATCCTCACACTCTCCTCCATAGTGACTGGGCCTGTGAAGTGTGGCGCGTACGATTTCAATTTGCCGGCCATTTTCCGCCTCCCCTCTGCTTCGTCTACCGTTGGTGTCATGTCTGGCTTGGATACAACGCCGGGACTAATCGCCATGAAAAGTATCCCTTCCGTAGCTCCAAGGGCTGCGTGGTACTTGGCCATGAGAAGGTTGGCCGCGGCCTTGGAAACGGAATATGGGGTTGCATTATCAATTGCGAAGCGGCTGACAAAATCCATGTCTGACAATAGCGTCGAGATAAGCATAACTTTTTTTTCTCTCCCTTTTCGAATAAGTGGTAGGAGTGCATTGATTGTGTGTGCCACCCCTACGACATTTGTTCTGCATGAATCTAGGATGTTCTCTTCCAAGACCTCTGGGGATAAATCGACAATGGAGTTGAATGCACTGTTCGGGGTTAGGATTGCGGCGTTGTTGATCAGGATGTCTAAACTTCCACCGGTGATCTTGCTGACTTGCTCGGCAACGGTCTGTAGGGCTTTGGCGTCGGTGATGTCCGCACAGACAAGGTGCACATTGGTGAGGTTATCGTCGACCAGTCGATTTTGGGTTGTACCTTTGTTGCGGACCAAGGCAATGACAATATTTGCAGGATTGGAGGAGAGGTGCTTAAGCCAGGTGTAGCCCAACCCTCGACTGGCGCCCGTGATGAGATAGGAGGGCATGATGCGGGTCTGGATGAACAATGGACAAGTGCGGCAGGTAGTTTCTTGTATTATTTCAAGCTTTTTGATGTATTATTTTTGCATTCATTCCAGTGGAAAATCGCTGATTGCCATTTGACTTTATCATTGGGTGGTCGGGCTATTGTTATCGGGGATACGAAGTATACCGGGGCCCGGTCTTACTCGCAACTCCCAACAGTGATTGGATGGACTCAGTATTAGGAATATAAGTAAACACCCGATCCCCAACCATTTGATGAGGTTCAATCCATACCTGGCAAGCCGTCGAATACTAGCTCGATTATGCACTAGATTAGATGCAGTTAAAGGATACATAAGCTGATAAAAATCAACCTACCGAGATCAGCCTTCAACCATTGAAGATGGATCTATTGTACACAGCGCCAGTGAAGGCCGTACTCACGGCTCTTGTCACAACCTTGGTACCTTTCTTGACTTATGTCGTGTTCCTATCGTATACCCCAACAGTTGACAAGAAGTCGCCCGAATTCACACCAAACACTGTCCCACTCGTGGGCTCCTGGGGTTTCTTCACCCAAAAATGGTAACCCCCTATCTTCCCTTTGCTTGTCGACCCGAGGCACTAATTAGAACATACAGGGCCTTCTGGAAAGACTGTGTGGCCAAGTCCAAAAAAGGCCACTTCAGCTTTTGGCTGGGCAAGATCCATGTCGTGGGGGTATCTGGCGCAGCAGCCCGCAAGGTCTTTCTCGATACCCATAACTTCGACTTTGTGCGCGGAGCTGCTCTTGTTGGCCATGGACCGGACTTTGTCCCTCCTCTTCACGAGATCTTCCACCCCAACTACCAAAACGGCAGAAGCTACTTCCAGCGTCGGTTGGTTGACTTGCAAAAATCGGAGCAGCTGGCCAAACATCTGCCCAGTGTGACGAGGGATGCTCGAGTGGCCTTTGAAGCCCTTCGTAACAACCCCTCTGGGATTATGAACCCAACAGATGCATGCTATAGGTTAGTCGTGCAGCAGGCTTGTCGCGTCGTGTGCAGCGATGAAATCTCAGACAACCCTAAGCTGCTTGCAAAGTGCCAGGACGTCCTGACACTGCTGATGCACACTAGCAGCATCCACACAGTTGCACTTCCGTATCTGCCCTCGATTGCCAAGATGAAGCGCCGATGGGGAAGATACGGGCTGAGCAATATTGTAACCCCGATCGTTAAGCGACGGTTACAGAAGGGAGCCACGCGCAGGGAGGATATTGTCCAGCATATGGTTGATAGCGGTGATTCACAAGAATGGATGGTCAACTTTTTTATCAGCATCCTGTTCATTGCCTCCGCCAATGCGGGGTATCTGTGCGGCGCTATGCTGAATATTGTCGCCCACCACCCACAATGGCAAGCCAGGATATACAGCGAGATAGAAGCTGTCGCTGAGGCGCATTCAAAGAGTTCCAAGGCACCATTAGTGGATCAACTCGACAGCATCCCGCTAGACGCGTGGGAAACTTTCTTCCCTTCCATTGACCTCTGTTTCAAGGAAGCCATTCGCATGTGGGTTGCGTTCCCAATGATCCGTCTCAACATGGCTTCGCAGTCGGTTGCGATCCCAGGCACAGATGAGGTCATTCCTGCGGGCACATTCGCGGCCTACAACACTACCGAAGTTCACTTCAATCCAGAGCTGTACCCAGATCCATACAAGTACGACCCCGATCGATTCCGCGAAGGTCGGGAGGAGTTTAAGAAGGAGGTTTATGGGTGTAAGTTGTGACTCATAGTTTCCGGGTTGGAATTCTATATGCTTACCTAGGTAATCGGGTATAGTTGTCGGCTGGGGTCAAGGTCGCCACCCCTGCATGGGTATGCGGTGGGCCAAGATACAGCTAAATATCATGCTTGCGTATGCCCTTGCGATGTTTGAGTGGAGCGGATGCGATGAAAATGGACAGCCTAGCACTCATTTTGACCGCAAGACAGATCTAAATGCTGCGGGTCCGAGTTTACCCGTTGGACTGTTTTGCAAATATGTGTCCAGGAACAAGGCTTGAGGGCCGGGAAAGCTGCAAACTGCGCTAGGAAGAGGTGTCAGGTTTATCAACTACTTTGCAAGATAAACAGTACATAGATATCTCGAATTAAACAATATGCTTGCAAAGGCACAAACATTAAGGAAGGCCGAGAATTCTTTCCATCCCCCTATACCACCAAACCAATGGTCAAGAAGCTCCTATCCTTACTCAACCTGTCCTTCAACATAATCAACTCATTGACATCCCAATTTGCCCACACATACCTCCCATTCAAAAACCCACTCTCCGGGCCCGCTAACCAAACCGCAAAGTGCGCAGGGAGGTTGATATCCTCCCACACCCGCGCATCCTCCGCATAATGCTCTGCCACAGACGGGGTATAAAACACACCAGGGTGGAACGAGAAAACTCGCACCGCTTCACTCTCCCTCTCCCAAGCGAAATGTTGCATCACCTGGGTAATAGCTGCCTTACTAGGCCCGTACCCAACGCGAAACGGACTTCTCGTCTGCGCCGCCGCGGATGTAATATTGATGATCGTCTTCGTCCCACCCGCTGGTAACGGGGTTTCCAGGTATGCCTTGGTGATATTGAATGGTGCGATGACGTTCACATCGAATGCATCCTGAATTTCCTCAGCGCTGACCTCAGTCGCTTTGACCTGTCGGTGCACGACAGCCGCACATAGTACGAGCACATCGACCGTGCCCAGCTCCTGTAGGATATTGGTCATGCGTATGCTATCCGTAATGGAAGCTTGGTAGATTAGGATTTCTGTCGAAGGGTACGCGGCTTCGAGTTCTGATTTGGCTTGGGCCTGCGGTCCTAGGGAGCGGGATATGATGGCGATGCGCGCGACGTTGGCTTGTGCGAATGCTTTGCAGATGCTGTGGCCGACGCCTGAAGAGCCGCCAGTGACGAGGATAGTCTTGCCAGCGCCGTTGAAGCCATGGTGTTGGGAGATGCGGTCATAGGTTTGCGAGTGATATATCACGGTTGGACGAGGAAAAGACTCCAATTTGGACATCTTTTCTTTCTGTGGCCTGGTGGGAATAATAGATTGGCTAGGATACCTAGACAGGGGATGTATAGCACTCTGTGGCCTTCGGATTCCGACTCACTATACCCGGGCTAAGTCTGAGCACGGATAACATGATTCGTCTTTGTCCCGATTCATCACCCTTTATTTCTGAGGTTTCGGGTGTTTAGATTGGCCAAAGCACAAAGAAATATAGCTGGACATGACGCCTGAGATCTCTCCGATACACCTGGGTATCAAAAATAGCAACGATACCCGCTACTCCTGATACTACAATAAACATTAAAATCTTTTTCCACAGGCTCGAGAATACGGACATTGGATATTGACTCCTATTTTGTGAAGAATATATACGCCCCAAGAACAACAGTCATGACTAAAACAGATTTAGACACGAGACTTGAGACTCCCTGGGAATCACTCGGAAACTCCAAGCCGTCACGCACAGCTCCATCATTAATCCATTCCTCGATCCAGCCGACGGTCATTCTAGATGTTGTTAGTTCGAACTATTCTTCTCGGGTAGACCTGCTGTATATACTGGCTCCGCTTTGTATCTGCAAAGTTCTCGTGGTCGCCAAACAAATGCTCTTTATAATACGGATCCTCCTTCATCATCCTGTAGTGTTCAACACTCTCAAACACTACCTGACTGAAACAATCATACTCGGCAATATTCGACATTTGGCGATCGTAAATCCAGTTCATCATCAGACGAGTTTGCGTGGGATTGTGAATCTACATGGCTTTAGTCCCCATCCAAAAATAAGTCCTAAAGAAGGTTTGTTATTGGTTACATACCACTGTCCATCGTTTGACACCATACTTAACCATGAGATCTTTCGTCAGGGGTGCCGAGACTTGGACCATATGCCGACGATATGCCTCTTCGCTCATCCCGGGCTTTCGATAGCCCAGGATGGTCAGACAAAGATACCGGCTGGGTGGAAGACCTGCCGATTCTGTTCCAATTGTTGTAGCCATATTTCTGGTCGTATGATTCTTTCAATGTCTTTGCAAATAATGTACTTAAAATAACCCGAATATATAGATGGGTCGGTGTATTTGTGTAGTTCGGGTTCCGGGTCTCACTGCCCGCGTTCTCATTTTCCGATGTAGGTAGGTTGCATGATAATATCCTGAAGTTTCTTGGTAGTATATAGATCTCAAACCAAAATTGAAGGCAAAATTAACCACTGCAAGAAACAGAAAACACAACATGGGCTCCATCGAAACTGCCACATCAATCCCACAGATCGGCTTGTCCAACGAGCACGTCGGCATCCTAGGCGATGCGCTCGTCGACAGCGCCTCAATTCAGGAAGCCAACCGTCTGCTCCAAAAGAACCACGAAGAATGGCACATGTTCTTCCGCGACCGGGCGGGCCACAATCACATCGTACACTCCATCCTCACCTGTCTAGCCCTGGGTGGCGCGCCCGAAGACATCCAGCGCGCCTACGATGACGGCGTGGGCATTCAGCGCCCGATTCCCGAAGTCGACACGGTGACTGTCAATAAACTTGCCGATGAGGAATTCTTCTATCAAACACTGGGAACGATCACGCAGTACACCTCCTTCCTCGTCTTCTTCCAGCATCAGATGGAGGAGCACGGCTGGAAGGAAACCGTAAACAAGTACGTCTTCTCGCGCAGCAAAGTAGCCGAGAAGATGCTCGCCAGGCTCTACGAGGGCGCCTACCACCCCATCATCCACCTTGGCCTAGGTATCGAATTCCAGCAACCCGGCATCATCGCCGAAGCCCTTGCGCAAGCTGCTGCCCACGACGACAGCCACATCAGCACACTTTTCGAAGCATGTGAAGCGCAGGCAGGCATTGCCTACCCACCTGCGAACCCTAAGTCGCTTATTCAGCTCCTCAATGAGACACGCGCCAACGAGACTATCCGCACCGCTCCGCGCTGGGAGGACTTTGGGAACAAGATGCGCGACGGCGTTGTCGGCCGCGCAAATTTGGAAATGGCATATATTGCCTCTCAGTTCATTATCAAACCCGAGGACTTGGAACGTCGCACGGCAGAAATGATTAGTGTATGTGCATATATGGCTGGTGCAAGCCAGCGCCCGGCCCGGAAGAGGAAGATCGACTTCTTCTACATGCACACGCTCACCAGTTCGATCTTCTTCAGTGTGCTCATCAAGCAAGATTGGATTAAGATTGAGGACCGGGTCCGGCTGGTCGAGTGGAAGGGGAGGCTGGATCTGGCCTGGTATGTTGTGAGTGGCTCGGCGGAGTTGTATGAGGACGCGGTGACGGGGTACCACAATGATTTCAGTGCGGAGATGGGGTGGAAGGAACTTTATGCCGCCGTCAATAAAGAGCACGATGATGGGCATGTGGCTAAGATGATCCGCGCGTTGAAGAATGGACAGGAAGCGTCGCGTCCATTTGAGGAAAAGCATCCCGATGTGTTTCTCGTCAAGGGTGACATGTGGTTGAAGATCGCGCGGATGGCATTGGATACCACCAAGGACTGGCAAACGGATCAGAAGTTTGTCAACTTTACGGGCTTTGATATGGGATGGAAGATTCGCCCTGATCTTGCTTAGTGTATTGAATCAAGCGGTTTTCTAGTCAAGTACTATTTAAATATGTAAGCATATTTATGCATGAAGATCGGTTTCGCGCTCATCGTTTAAATTATATTGGTTTCGAACAATAAAGGCTATACAAAACAATCATTCCATAGCTAACTCGGCCCAGTAGAAGGCAAATACGCATGTAGAAATGGAAAGAAATGCCTGGCCAGCCCGGTCGCAAGACACAAGGGCGTACCCGAAGGGAACTTGGCCGACCCATTCGTGTTCACCACACTAACGTTCTTCATCTCATACTTACCCTCCTTGTCGTCGGCCGCTTCGATCATTCCCGCCGCTAAATCCAGGTACGAAACGAACGATTCATCATGGTCAAGGTTGAGTTCATGACCCCGTTGCACATCAACCGCCAACCCACCCGGCTTGATGAAAATCGTCGACACCAAATCCTCTTGCTGCCGAAGATAGACCTCCGTTCTGCGCAGATCCTCGTATACATGTGAGGCTGCCGTGCGGAGAATGGGACGGAACCACCACGGCATGTGCCGGCTCAGATGGTCGTCGATTGTCCCCGAGGAGAGGAGGAGGATCTTGGGGATTGCGCCGAGCTGGCCATGAACCTTCAGTTTCTCAATCGCAGAAATGATACTCTTCGCTGTGTCCAGACCGACATGGCAGCCAGGGATATTGTCGTTTGTCGTTACCACGTGGAAGATAGCGCGGGTGTCGCGGATGCATTCGGCCAGAAGATCGATATCGTAGATGCTGCCTTCAAAAATATTCACGCGCTTGTTATCGGTGATTGTGGGGACCTTTTGGATCAGTTTGTTCGTGCTACGGCAGTAGGCATTGACTTTTGCATCTTCGGTTTGCAGGAGGTTGTCGATGAGAGCAGTGCCGCAATTTCCTGTGGCGCCGAGGATAGCGTAGGTGGGCATGATGAACAGAAGCACTATAGATTGGTCGGCGCGTTTTCTTTCTGCCTGTCCTCCGACAGGTCCGTAATTTTATCAATCATATTTCTTCCCCGACTATGCGATTCGGGTTTCGGACATGGATGCCAAGTATGAGAATCGTCGGGATATAGTACGCCGTGGGGTAGTTCGGGGAGTAGCTTGTCCGATTCTTTGTTATACTTATACTCGCATTATCAATCAGGGGAAAATCCAGGAGAAGGGGCCAGGTTTAATGCCCCTCGGGTAGTACAATGTCCGAGCAAGTTTACCCAACAGTAACAGACTGGCTATTGACAGCTCGGGGGTTAGCATGTCCGGCGGCCTTCCAGTGGGGCGATCCACCTTGGTGTTATTGGTTGGATGCTTCCGAGATCCAAACTTGGCGGCGCCACAGATCCACCTGTACCACGTTATGGCAAAGCCAATTTCTGTATACCAATGTACAACATAGAGGACTAGGAAGTCCATTTTGGAATCTGGCTGCCTGCAAGCACTCACTATATAATAGGAGGAGAATCAGTATGACTTTACATCCTCATAAATTACCAATCCTACAGTCTTTCTTACTACAATACTATTAACTCGCCCCAATCAAACGTTTGTCTCAACTTCAAGCATGTCCATCCGAGCTCTCAACCAGAACTTGCCCTCCTTGGACTCTGCCGCAAACGCAGAAGAGCAGGTCCCCTCTCGCCCTTTCTTCCCTGCCCATGGCGCAGGTGACCATCCTTATCCCAACCCGTGGTCTGTAAAGTCTGGCAACGGTGATGTCGGCCGTCCATGCCATCCCTACCCATCTCCGTGGGCGCAAGCCGACGACGAAGGTCAAGATAACGAAGCCAATGACGAAACTGGTGACCTCACTACCCCTCGCAGGCCATATCCGTACCCAGGCCCCGCGGAAGGTCACCCACCATACACCTTTCCTGGTCCCTCTGAAGGCCGAAAACCATACCCTTTCCCGGGCTACGCTCAGCAGCCGCACACCTACCCTGGCCCTCTTCCATGGCACCAGCCACACGCCTATCCAGGGCCTGGGGAGGGTAGAAAGCCATACCCTTCCCCCTGGGATGACGACAAGACCAAGCCCTCTCCTCGCAAGCCCTACCCCTACCCTGGACCAGCCGGTGGCCACAAACCACATCCCTATCCGGGTGCGGTCCCGTGGAGGCAGCCCTACCCCTCCCCATGGGAAGAGGATGACAAGCACAAGCCGTCCGCTCCTCGTCCACCGTATCAGTTGCCTGGTGGGTCGCATAGCGCGGCTCCATTCCCCCAACAACCGTACGAATACCCAGGCAACCCTCACAGTGCGACTAATTTCCCTCAGCCATACCCATTCCCTGGCGGCCAACACGGAGGACACGGTAAAGGAGGATGGGGCGGACACGCCTCCGGCCAGCCACATTTCGGTGGCCCTTCATCTGCCAGGTTCGGGCGAGGGGGCTTCGAAGCTCCCCACATGTCCCACGGCCCCTGGGTATTCAGTCAACAAGCCCCCTTCACATTTCCGTCCACTGGATCCGACAAATACAAGCCCGAAGTTGATGTATTCGACACCCCTGAGACATTTCTGATTCACGTGCCGCTTCCTGGCGCCAAGAAGGAAGATATCGAAGTCAACTGGGACCCGAAGGCGGTGGAACTCAGCATCACTGGAGTGATCAGCCGACCTGGCTCTGAGGACCTGGTCAAGACGATTGCGCTGGATGAGCGGAAGGTTGGAGCATTTGAGCGCAAGGTGCGATTGGGGAACCCAGCGAATCCGCCCAAGGTAGATGGGGATGCTATTTTGGCCAAGTTGGAGGATGGAGTTCTTGTTGTTGAGGTGCCGAAGACGGAGCCAGATGATGTTGAGGTTAAGAAGGTTGAAGTTGAGTGATTGCTGGTTGGAGATCGCAGGGGGCTTTCAGGTAGATAGGACAGTAATTGTACAATATTTTTAGTATTTTTGCGTCTACTTACCTTGTGCAACCATTTGAAGCATAAGGTATCAAATATCTTAGGGCTTCTGTACGTACATAACCAAGCTGTTGTAACTCACCCGCTATATGATATATATTTCGTATTCACTGCTGATTTTGGTTACAGAAATGTTGTGCATGGGTCAGTAGATTAAGGGACTTGGATATAACTAAGATTACTCTATAGGTTGGAAAGCTAACTAGGTATTCTATAATAATATCATGCCTGAATTGTGGTCTGTTTATTACTTGTAAACTTCCTGGACAGTGGAAGGGAACCGCAACTGTGAGACACTAGGCCTAATGGGGAAGGCCTCCGCAAGGCTCAAGCGAAACCTTGCCCATCTGGCCAATGAACGTACATATTACATAATGACTGGACATCTAAACCTTGAGACTTCTACCATGTGGACATTTTTATCGTTTGGTGTACGAGCCCTGGAGTTCGAGTACTTCGGAAAAGTCAAATGCTCATAGTCATGAAGCAGATATGTGAAAAAAATTAAGAAGTCTGGCAACTGAGATCTAACGATAAAAGTGGGATCGCGATCACCTTTTGACAAGTTAGACCGACCGACAAGACGGAAAGTGCTCACAGACCTCAACTTCACCTGGTTTCTTCAGTTTGATTCAAATTTGATCTGAGCCGTGTCACCCGAGCAAGACAGAGAAGGCTCGGAAAAAAAAAAAGTGAAGTCGGAACCTTGTAATATACGGGGAATTATCAATCGGCCAATGCCCCGAAACCCGAATGTCCCGACCTCGCGTCCCGAGCTCAGTATGCGTACATAGGTAGTCAATATAGTTACCATACTGGTAATTGTACCATTCTGGAAGCAAAAGTCTCGCCACCCATTGTCCAGTATCATTTTCGTCACAATGTCGAAGACCCCGACGTTCGAAGGTACATCCAGCCTATTCAAATGATGCTGTAGGATGCTGAGCAATTTACAGAGACCACCGGCTGCCAGAAAGCCCTATTTGAATGGGCCGACAGCTATGACACCAAAGACTGGGAGCGACTGAGGGAAGCCGTCGCCCCAACGCTCAGAGTAATGCCCCACCTGACCAATCTAAGCGGCTCGATTTTAACCCCAAGACAGATTGACTACAGCTCCTTTCTCAATAAGATCTGGGAAGCCATGCCGCGCGACGAGTTTATCCTGATGGCCTCGAACCCGCACTTCCTGGGCAATCCGCTTCTCAAAACGCAGCATTTTGTCGGGCTGAGCACGTGGGAGAAGGTGAGCGAGGACCAGATTGTTGGTCATCACCAACTCCGAGTGGCGCATCAGCGGTATACCGATGATGGGTTTAAGGAGGTGGCGGTCAAGGGCCATGCACATGGCACGGCCACAATGTGGTATGCGAAGGCCGAGGGGGAGTGGAAGTTTGCGGGTGTTGGTCCGAAAGTCAATTGGACCGAGTACGATTATGATAAGGTGTTTGCGGATGGGAAGGAGCATTTTGGGGAGAATGGTGAGAATGGCGAGAATGAGCATTAATATATGGTGGTATCGTGCTTTTATAAATCGACATAATATGATGTTGGAATATGAACTTCACAAATATCTAAGTCGACATGAGCGAAAAGGGATTGAATAGCTATTTGAGGCGACATCTTTTCAACCGGGGGAATATATAGCCATGTCGAGGCGACTTAATAGATGTAAGAGGTCGAAGCAAATATGCTGGCCGGGGTGCCTGTGTATACTTGGGATTGATGTCAACATCCAAGAGAGGCCTAGTAGACATAGATTGTATAGAAAAATGGAGTGGCAAAGATGAGTCCCGAAAGCAGCATGCATATATCAGCATAATGTTGTTTAATTGAATATATGCATTTGAAGTTATTGACAAATTGATCTTATGAAATAGTCACCTCGCTCGCAGTCAACGCCGGACACAGAAATAGAGGAAAAACCACAATCTAACTATAATACTCTTCCAACCATGACCTCAAAGAGCCGATTGTGGGATACTCTAAGAACAAACTTCCCGCAACAACAATACCTAGTTCCTCGCGGAACTTCTCCGCAATCACCAGACTCATCAGACTATCTACGCCAAGAGTGGCAAATGCAGCGTCATCAGTGAGATCACACAGCTCAAGGCCGGCCTCGTTAGCAATGAGTACCAAGGCTTTACCTGATGTGCTGTCCGAATTAACTCCCGCGGGGGCAGCTGGCATAGGTGCAGGGGTCGGTGCGGGAGCAGGGGCTGATGCTGGTCCGGAAACTTGAGGAGCGATCTCGGGCACTGCAGGCGTAGGCTGAGATATAGCTAGAGCAGGGACGGGCACCGGGACAGCATGACTGGAAGAACCAGCGGCAGCATAAGACTTCGAAGAGTCTGGGGCAGCAAAGAAATGGTTCATCAAAATGCGCGGGTAGCGGCGGAACTGTATGCCTCCAACCATTCCTATAATCACGTCATCCTGGAAGACATAGACGTCCCCAAGGTACACAGACGAGTCAGCGTCTGTCGGGATCATCTTGACATATGACCTGTATTTTTGCCCCGCGACCAGAGGCCGAGCGAAGCGCATGCTATCCCATCCAGGGGTCACGCAGAATGTGTTCGCAGTGTCGCTGGCATCGGAAACATTCATAATGAAACCAGCCAGATGGGCGACGCTGTCGATGAAATAGGGGGGAACTGTATAATCACCTCCACCCTGGACATTTTGGAGGGTGATGTCGGCGAAGGCTTCGAACTCGTTCATCACGACGGCCTGCATGCCACGGTATTTTTCGGCATACTCAACGAGGTTGTTACCGAAGAGAGTATACGCCATCTTGTGCGAGAAGCGGTTGGCGATTCCTTCAGCTGCGAGACGCTCCAGAGTTTCAATCCGACCTTGCACGAGGTGGGCCAGTGGACTCCAAGATGAGAGCCATGTGTCGGCATACCCGTAGACGACACGACAGGTGGCGAATGGCTCGGAGACCGTGCCGTCGTTGGCAACATTCTGCCAGACGAAGTCGGCAACAGCGACATTTATATCGGGTGTTGTAGCCGTCACGCGGAAGTACTGCGGCACCTTAGTGTTGCTTTGGGCTACAAGCCCCTTGGTGACTATCAAGTCGGTAATATCTATATCCACAGTTTTGGCATTGGGAATGAGATTCTTGTACAGGTATTTACCCAACGTGTAGACGATATCACCATGGATGGACTATGAAATTAGTACAACACCAAAACAGAGTAATAAATAGACACTCACTGATGTGATGACACCGCAGTTGTTCATTTTATGTCCGTGGGCAGCAGCCAGGAGATCGGGCTGCATGAGGTCAGACTGCATGACAACCTTTCCGGTCGACCCGTCGAATTTCTCCTCGATGATTTGCTGAACGGTCGTAGTCTTGAGAGTGGACACTGGGGCGGTAGTAGTTTGTCGATTGATCCCCTTCTCCGCATCGTAGAAAGTATTTCCCTTAGTCAACGCCCAATCGCCACTGTACTGAATCCAGTGTTTTTTCTCGTTCCAGCTGTAGGTAGGTAGATCCAAGAGACGGAGGGAAGCCTCGAAAGGTCTGTGGAACTCGTTCCATCGTACCGGCAGTCCAGCAGTGTGAAGCTGTCCTAGGCTCTGCGCAAGAGTCGTCCAGTTGTCTTCACCCCGACGGAAGGAGCCCACCGTCAGAGGAGCAGGATCGAAGCTGGCTTTGACAAATGCAACACAGACCGGGTGAGGACCGACCTCAACCCAAACTGTATCCTTGTCCACGATTGATGTCTCCTGCGCGTTCTGCATTGCAGAGAGGAAGTCAACTGTTCCACGCGTCGCCCGGCGTAGATACTCGGCATTCAACGATCTTTCGTCGAAAACAACCTTGCCTAATAGGGGTGATACAATAGGTAGCGTTGGCGGATGGAAGACAACACTCTTTCTAGCCGTCTCCTCGAAGAGTTCTAGGATGGGATCTGTCTGGGCCGAGTGGAAGGCAAATGGAACGTCGAGGAATATAACTCGATACCCTTTCTCCTTGAGAGGAACGGACACAGCTTCCATCTGCTCTTTCGTACCAGAGAGAACAGTCTCTTTAGGCCCATTCACACAGGCAAGGTCGTACGGGAGTTCCTTCACAGCATCTTCAATTTCTGACTTCGAGGCCTTCACAGCCATCATCTTGTGTGTTCCAGCGGTACACAGCGACTGGAGCATCTGGGCACGTGAACCAACCAGGAAAATCGCATCACTAGCTGATAGGACACCAGCAATGACCAACGCCGCATACTCGCCTAGACTATGTCCAGCGACGACATCCGGCTTGAGACCTAGGGTTTCGAAGTATTTGGCCAACGCGATTTCGACACTGGTATGAGCAACTTGCGTAATGACTGGTGACCAGGCATGGTCTTTCGGGAAGCTCCCGTCAATAGCGGGAATGAACGATGGGAAACCGTGTTGTTGACCCAGGCGGTCAAGGGTCTCAATCTGGGACCAGAAGAACGGCGAGTGATGGTACAGCTGCAGGTTCATCGACTTGTCGGCGGCTCCTTGACCAGTGAAAACGAAGGCAACTGGGGGTGGTCCGGTGGTGGGAATGGGTTTCATAGAATCGATACCATCAAGCTTGGAGGCAAGCTGCTGCTTGAGGCTGCCCACATCCGCAGCATTAATTGCCACACGGTGATTGTGGTGGTATCGTCTTGCTGTAAGCGAGTACGCTAGATCAGCCATCGAGACTTCGCCGTTCTTCTCCAAGTAGTCGATCAACCCTCGAATATTTCCGTTCAGTGAAATTTTACTCTTCGCAGAAATGGTAAACACATGACTAGGGCGAGGATCCGACCCAACCCTCTCTCGCACAGGTCCTTCTTCTAGTAGGAGCGTAGTGTTGCCACCAGCAGCGCTGAAGTTGTTTACCACAGCAATGCGCTTCTTGTCAGGTGCGCGGAACCACTCTGTCGTTTTGTAAGGAATCTGCAGGTTGCGCTTATCCATATCTTTAGGGAAGCCAGGGTTGATGTCTGTTTTGATTCCGACATGGGGGGGAATCGCACCCTTTTGCAGCATAAGTAGCACCTTGATCATTGCGGTCACACCGGCAGCAGCCTCTCCATGGCCGACATTTGCCTTGACAGCACCAATGTGGAGCGGTTGCTTGGAGGTCCGTCTCTTTCCCTTGACAGGGGCAAATACATTTGTGATAGACTCCATTTCTTCGGCATCGCCAGCTTGAGTGCCGGTACCGTGGAATTCAACGTAGCTGACATCAAGAGGATCGATGCCTGCACGCGCCATTACCTGTCTGTACAGGTCCGATTGGTGGCCAGCGTGTGGGTGCGTGATAGAAACAGCATTAGCAGAGTGGTTGGTAGCTGCCGCTGGGATTACCCCCAAAATATTATCATTATCTGCCAATGCATCGTCCAGACGCTTCATCACTATCGACCCGACGCCATCCGCACGGCAGTACCCATCCGCCGTGCAGTCCCAGGTCTTACAGGCGTTAGGCGTCTTGGTGAGGAAATGGCCATTACAAAGACCAGCGAAGGCATCAGAGTTGGTCAGCACATTGAGGCCTCCTGCTACAACCGTGTCGACGTCACCGGCCCAAAGTGCTGTACAAGCAGCCTGAATAGCAGCCAAACTGGATGAGCAGGCTGTATCGCAGTTGAAACTGGGCCCAGCAAATTTGAAAAAGTAGTTGATCCGCCCGGGACCAAAAGCACGACATCCACCGGGGATAAAATAGGTACTGATCTCTTGGCCAGTGTTGACCTCACGATAGTCGTCACTGGCCTGACCGTACCAGGTGCCGATACGGTTTAGATTGGTAGCAGGCGTGCGGTTCGCTACGTACCCTGCTCGCTCCAAGGCTTCGTATGCTGTGACAATAGCTAACCGCTGCATAGGATCCGTCTGTTCAGCCTCACGGGGCGACATGTTAAAGAATGGCGCATCAAACAGGCCCGGTTCATCGATGAAACATCCATACGCCGTGTGGCTAGTGTTCAATCTTTTCCCCGTAGGATCATGATGCGAGTCAACATCAAACCGATCAGCGGGGATCTTCCGATGAACATCTAGCCCAGCCTCCAGAAGATCCCAAAACTTCTCTGTATCGGTTGCACCGCCTGGCATACGACACGACATTCCGACGATGGCGATCTTTGACTGCATAGAGCTTCCGGGTGCGTACTCCTCGTGGTTGATATCAGTAGTAACCCATGCCAAAAGATCATCTGTTTCGACAGAGAGATCAGTGATAGTGGAAGTCAACGCACTCGAGAGCAGTTGAGCAGCGAGTGAATGACGAAACACCTTGATGTTCACACCGCGCACATCACTCTTAACCATCCTCTCCGCAACACCCAGAGTGACATTGTCCCATATGATTTGCTTGGTCATGACTTCGAAGATCACCTGCTCAAACAGCTCTACCGCAGTCGATGCAACAAATGGCTGGCCTGAGCTGGTCGACATGACAGGTACGATTGGCTTAAACCGCGATGCCAAAGAGGGAGAGGGGACGACTCCTTGCGCATCCTGAAAGGTGTAGATATGAGGGGCATGGCACAACCCTCCATACACCGGCAATTGCGCAAATTTGCGATCTCTAAACGAGGCATAATTGCGGAAGAGGCCTTTGAGTCGAGATGGAGGACCGCTGACAGTGATAGAGGTTTCGCTAATGGCGCTGACAAAGATCTTACTGGCTGATGGGGTGTTCTCCTTGGCTTGAATGTCATCCAACTCTTTCTGGGCTTCCTCCATAGTCAATCCGTAGACGACATATGCCCAACAATCAGAAGACTCTGTGTCCACGGCTTCCAGGTTTTGCGAAACGTCACCAACGAAAACACCAAGACGAAAGGCAATGCGCAGGACTTCAGTACCAGCTGTCACCAAGTCGTCCAAAGATGGGGAGACTGCAACAGCTGTCGAGACCAGAATGCCCAGCCCGAGGCCAGTCAGTACGCTATTGGGTCCAGCTGCCTGGTCTTCCGGGTACAGTTCGGAGTGTCTGAGCTGTTAGCAATGCACAAGCTAGTGAGGGAAATGGTGACACACCCAATGTACGTCCCTAGCTGTAGCACACAAAGCAACACGCCATCAACAGACTGAGAAAGCTGTCCCTTACGCAGCTCCATCTCACCCGCTAGAGTCGTCACGGACTCGAAGGCAGGAACAAGCTCAGCGAGCTCAGCGCGTAATTGGCTAACCTCATTCCGCAGTACCCTTGTCGCTTCGTTCAAGAAGCGAGCCAAGATGACATGGTTGCGTTGTTTGCTGTGGTTGTGTAGCCGACGAAGAAGGATTGATAGGTCATCTGTGGGGAATTCGTTGCTGAAGTAGAGGGCTTTGTATTTGGGGAGGTCCCCGGCCTCGGCTGGGGATGTGTAGGCTACCATGTCAAACGAGGCTGTTGAAGGGGCTGATGAGGTCGTCGACATGCCTTTATAAACGCGTGGTAATGATGTTGGATTGAACGGCAGGAAATAGATAGAGTGAACAGTCTGTGGCAAAGATTTCAATGTGTGTGAAATACAACGAACCAAACTGATTGCTGATTGATTCTAAATGCGATAAATCTCCGAATATGTAGTCTGTGACCAATCTATTTGATCACATCGCCACTAAATAGACTGTTATCAAAAAAAAAAATTCCCCGACTTCCGATTCGGAATCCGGACAACGGGGTAAGCAGACGCAGCACCTCCGACGGGATATACAAAGGACTCTTCTAAATTTCCGGTCCGACCATCTATCAGGGCGTTCCATACTGTGTCATCATACAACACAATGGGCGAAGGAGGTTACCGCCAGATCAACAAGACACTGAATGTGTGCGCTTTCGATGACTATCTCGTCACGCAACATTCACGACTACCCAAACTGCTAGATGTTGAACAGCTCACTCCACGGGTCCTTCGTATCCTTGGTCAAAATGCGGGAAAGGTATGCGCCTGCTGATTCATTTGCAGTTTCGAAGCTAATTGTCAGTTCACATTGCAAGGAACAAACACATATATTGTTGGCACGGGCCAATACCGCCTCATCATCGACACTGCACAGGGATTCCGCGAGTGGGCAGATCTGCTCGATGTGACACTATCTGACCGCTCGATTGCATTGTCCCATGTGTTCCTGACACACTGGCATGGTGATCATACCGGTGGGGTCCCCGACCTTATTAGGATGTATCCAGACCTCGCCGATGGCATCTACAAAAACTCGCCAGAGCACGGACAAAACCCTATCGAAGATGGTCAGATATTCAAGGTCGAGGGAGCAACGATCCGCGCAGTCCATGGACCAGGCCACTCGGAAGATCATATGTGCTTTGTGCTCGAGGAAGAAGATGCCATGTTCACGGGGGACAATGTCCTCGGGCACGGCACGAGCGCCGTCGAACAGCTAGGTCTCTATATGGAAACACTCCGAAAGCTACAATCGCAAGGCTGTAAGACGGGGTATCCCGCCCACGGTGCCGTTATCCCCGATCTGAATGGTAGGATTGCGACCGAACTGGCGCAAAAAGCACGGCGGGAGAATCAGTGTCTCACTGCACTGGGTAGGATCCGGAAAGAGGGGTCGGCAGGACAGTTAGTTAGTGTTACTGTTAGTGAACTCATTAATGTAATTCATGGGCCTCGGTTGGATGAAGAGGTACGGAAGATGGCATTAGAACCGTTTATGGAGGAAGTTTTGAGGAAGTTGGCGGAGGATGGAAAGGTTGCTTTTCGAGTGAGAAAGGGGGTGAAGACTTGGTTCGCTCTTGCTTAGCTATATGAATCTCATCGCCGCATTGCATCCAGAAACTCAAATTTCTATTCATAAATGACAAATGCGTCCCGTGTCCCCTGTTTCATACAGAGAGGGAAGAGGATTCCCGAACAGACTCGGGTCATAGCAATCCGGACATCCGATATTGTAGAGCGGTCATATGACCCCTCCCGTTTCAGGGTTTGCTGAGGAAGGTCATCCGAGCCCCGGAGCAACAATATCCCGCAAAAAGGGCTCCGCCTGTGATATACACACAACGGCACAAGATTAGCCTCCAGTAACATAAACTTAATGAGTAACCTTTCGATTGCTATTTTAATATGCGATCTAAACATTTCTGAATCATTTTTGTTGTAGCTCCACAACAACTTTTTCATCTCTCAATGCACTCGATATTTCCAGCTCTACATTAGATAGTCTCTAGATCTACCCTTTGGCAACATTAAATTTACACGATGGATGAAAAATAAGTCCAATGTGAACTGTATTGGTAGTTGAAATCCAGCAGAGCCTTCTCTACGCAGCACCGCCATCAATACCCAAGACCTTGCCATTGACCCATTCGCTCTCATTCGAAGCCAAGAAACACACTACCTTGGCGATATCAATTGGGTAACCACACCGAGTCAAAGGCGAAACATGGGCGACAATCTAAATTGTTAGCCTCGGGTAAGATAATGAAATCTGATAAATTGAACTTACATCAAGAATCTGCTCCTTGGACATCTTGTCCGCGTTGGGCAAGTAGTCTTTCGCTGTTTCGTGGAACATGTCGGTAACAGTTCCACCGGGCGCAACTGCGTTGACAGTGATCTTCTTGTCACCGCAGTCTTTAGCGAGACAGCGAACGAACGTGTTGATGGCGCCCTTGGAAGCCGAGTAGAGCGAGTGTTTGGGCACAGTGAACGAATCCGCCGTGTTCGAACTCATCAGAATAATCCGACCATTCTGATTTAGATGCTTATAAGCCTCGCGGGCGACAAAGAATTGTCCACGTGTGTTCACGTTGAAGACCCTATCAAACTCTTCCTCGGTGACCTCACTCAGGTGTCCGAACGAGACGACACCGGCGTTTGAGCAGACAATGTCAATGCCACCAAAGACTTTGACAGCTTCTTCAAAAAGCTTCACGGTCTTGGGGACTTGGCTAACATCGGCCTGAAGAGCGACAGCCTCGGACCCCAGAGCCTTGATTTCGTCGACGACTTGGTTTGCAGGACCAGCAGACTTGCTGTAGTTGATGATCACCTTTGCGCCACATCGGCCCAGTTCGACAGCCATGGCTGCTCCAATGCCCCGACCAGATCCAGTTACCAGAGCGACTTTACCATCGAGGCGGTAGGGAATGTAAGAGACAGAACCCATTTTCGTAGTATCAAAGATTTTTGAATGCAACGAATTCGAGAAAGAGTAATTGGTTGGACATTATCTCTGGGCGATGCTGAGTTGACTATATGTATTTGCAGTGCTTTTTGTTCTTAGTTAGGGCTATTTTCCTTTTCCGAATCGTGTCAAGATGTCGGGATACAAAATCTCCCGCTATTGTCCGACATCATTTTCCGACTTCTCACAGAGACTATTGTCGATGCTTTTCCGTTCTTCTTCTCATTTCTTTCGTAATTCCACTAAAAGCGGAGTTGTTCCCGTCCTCGGATCTTTAGCAGATTTTCATCACGAACCTCAATATTGAGATATAATTATTATCCAAGTCTAGATCGCTAGATATCCAAGTCTAAGCACACTATATCCTCCAGTCGTCAAGATCAATGCCAGCCCCCGCGTCCACTCAAGCAGCAACGCTGCAGCGCTTCATATCCGCATGGGAGAAATGGGAAGCCCAAGAATGGATATCCACCTTTTCTGACGACTTTCAACAAGTCACCATGCCTCTTGGCTTAAACATTCCCCCTCGTTCACGGAAAGAAGTTGAGGTCATTTTGCCTGCTCTTATGGCCACAGTAAATTCCTACGAGGTATTTATTTAGGAGCCATAGTTATATCGTGAAATGCTAACCGCATAGCTCACAATCCACCATGTTGTCCACGACCCCGAGCACAACAAGGCTGCTGTATACGCTACATCCAAGGGACTTCTCCCGTGGGGAGACTGGAATTTGGAGTACTCGATATTTATAACCTTTACGGAAGACGGGGAAAAGGTGGCTAGGCTAGAAGAGATGCTCGATACCGCATTTTTGCAGGACTTTGGACCGAAGTTTGGAAAGTACTTGCAGGATCATGGGGGGCCGATTGCTGTTGCTGCTGGGCAAAATTGACACCTGTTAATATTCGTCTTTTTACATTATATTATGTTACATGGTTCTATCATTGCATATTGGAGCAATGTTCTTCGGCTATAGGTGTAGGTCAATGTAGGTGTAATGGCTTATATGTGTTGGAGGTCCCCATGGAAGGCAAAATTCGAGACCATTCGATCAGCATAGAGAGCCGAAATATAGATGAATAAAGATAGAGAGTTAAACCGATCGGTCTTGATTGGCATGGGTCCTTGGCTTCGTGGCGAGATCGTATTCTTAATTAGTGGAAGAAGGCAACTACGAGAGTGCGTGACAAATGCTTGGAATGCGGGGCCTAGGAGAATGATACCCTTATTCTGCGAAGTTTTCAATAGAACACAGACGGCAAATGTGATGGTTTCTTGTCTCAATACATTCACAGACTATATACAGCTGTACTCAAGCCTCCTTCCCCTTGATGTACGCTTCCAATTTGGGTAGGAATGTCTTCATAAACACCCCATCAAACATCTCCTCAATCCGATTCACGTACTGGCCACTCTCATCGAACCACACAAAACATGAATGTTCATTCTTGTAGGGTCCAAAAGGAGAATCCGCTGTTGTAATTGCATAAATTACCGCCTTGCTTTGAGCAGGGTCATGGATCACGTTGTGCACGGTAAGCTGCCGAGGTTAACCTTCTGTGTGTCAGTGAAGAACTGATGATGAACAGATACCTCAAAATTCGTCAATATAGACATCAGCTTCGGAAATAGCTTCTCAGTAATCGCACGAGTGCGGGGTGCTACACCAGAGCTAAATGGGAGAGTAACTTGGGCGCAATCTTCGGACCAGCTAGCCAGGAACCCATCCGGAGTCCAGCCCTTCCAGCCGTCGATAAATTTGTTCAGCGTTGCTGTTTGCGTTTCGGCGGGGGCAGGCATGATGGCTGGTGTACTGAATGCGATACCTTCTTGGGTAGCTAAACTTGGTGGAAAATACGTAGTGAACATAATAAAAGGGTCTAGGAGCGATGGGATGGTCTCGGGATATTGAATCTATAGGAAAGTCGGTTCAAAGGGAATCGAGCTTGACCCATCGGGAGGAACATCACATCCAATGAACAATCGCCCGAAAGCTCATTTCAAACAAAGTTCCTGAGTGCCTCACATACAGAAAACATTGAGGTAACTTTGCCGTGTTCCCTACCTTCTAGGATAATATCGAAAAAAGAAAAGTTGCTTTGCTATTGATATCCCTGGTTATACATAGAAAAGTCTTTTCCACAAAGTATGCTTTTTTACCACCTTTCCACCTACTTATAAACACACACGTATGTAAACGGGCATCTAAAAAAACATCTCAAGAAGATATCTGAAAACACCACCTTAAAAGACATGGCAAGACCGCATTAGCGACCGACAATTCTTGTCCTACATATCCTACAAATAGGTTGCGAATCCCTAATTCACCAATTTCTCATGTGAGAATTTCATTCAAGCAACTATAACTTCAAAACATTGTAATTACCGTCTAGTGGCCAAAATGATCTTTGCGGGCCAAGAGGCCCTAACCGTACTATCGCCAATAACCTCCTCCATCTCCTGCCACAACTCCCCAAAATGTGGATCTTCTCTTGCAAACGGGAAGGAAAGAACATGCTCCTTCACGCTTTCTAGGTTAGTCACAAAGCTCCAACCCTCCTCCTGCACAAACATTTCGACATCGTCAACCCCGGTGTAGACAGGCTCATTAACCTTCACATTTGGCGGCAAAGGAGCAGTGATGCCCCCGTTCTGCATATTAAGGTGAATGCGCTGAGCCCCGGGGAGAAAAAGACTCTCATCCAACGGGGCAACATTGTACTTGCCCTGCGTCCGAGCCATGACAGCGAGCAGCTTGTCTGGGTCATCCGCCTTCTTTAGCAAAGCCCGTCCCCCAGAATGATTAATCCGCGTGTAAATATCCTGGATTTGTGGATCATCGAACTGTGCTGCCCCAAAGGCCGCACAAGCAAATGTACCGCCTGGTCGTAGCTGCTTCGCGATCACGTTCATTGCCAGAGACTGATCGCAGAAATGCATGACATTCGTAGCAAAGACCATATCTATGCTGCCCTGGGGAATATCATCGCCCTCTTCCACCCTGGCAGCACGGTAGCTGAATCCGTCACGTCCGAGTCTATCCTCAGCGAGGACAACGTTTTCCTCAGCAATGTCTGAAATGATAACGTGTTGAAATTTTGAGCGAAGAATTTGAGCGTAAGGTCCATTTCCTGCGCCTACGTCGTGAACGGTGCCGAAGTGACCGCTGTGGGATTGGTGGTAGTTGAACAGGCGCTGGAAGAAAATGTCGGGCGCAGAGGGGCGGCCTTTGAGATAGTTGTTCCAGAAGGCTTGGCCCTTTTCGAACAATTTGTCATTGGAGTCAAGGGAGGAGGTCGTTGCGGTTGCCATGGTGCTTGCAAGATTACATGAGGTTTCCAGGGAATGGTGCTGTTGTTGTGTGCCGTGGTAGAATATATGCGTGGATAGATAACCCGAGTACACCCAGAAAAGGCCAAGTTCGGATATCGGGATTCGGGTTAGACCTCAGTGGTGAGATCCACTGCATCTATTCTGCATCTGCGAGTAAATTATTTCGAGTATTTAAACACTATGCGTGTATACAAAGCCATTACTAGCGTCGCCGTCTCGAATGGGATAAGATAGTTACTCCCTGCGTAATCGCTCCACAATGGCCTTTGACAGGTCGCAGAGACGCTTCCGCAGATCCGTCTCTAGATTATTCACTAACCCAACCGAAAAGGGCTCCAGGAAAGCATTTATGCCTCCTGCAAGTGGGCCGGTCATGTGCAGCGACGGGTCACCAGGTCCTACCCCAGTGGACTCAGATATGCTGCGTAGACGCTGCGATAGAAGATCGACAGATGCCTGCACGCCTGCGAGTTTGGAGAGAATCCGCTGCACGGCAATGCGCTTCTCATCCTCATACTCGCAGACTGCCGATGTTGGGCCCTGCAAGACAGGTTCTAGGGACTCTTCGCCTGATGCCGCCCCTGTGGCAGCGGTGTACCAGGCAATAATTCGGAAGACTACAAGGGACAGGGTCATCAGAAGGTGGCTATCGTTTGCGCAGTTACATTGCAAAATTTTGCTGACTGCATCACTCGTCTGCTCGTTCTGGGTAAGAACTCGCTCAAAATCAGGCAGTCGAGGGCTTGATGCACCGGAGCCGCTCCCGCATCCCGGGTTGCCCGGTGAGAGTCCAGCTAAGAGGCCAAGAGCACGGGACAAGCATTGGCAGGGGTCGGAGGTTGCACCGGTGATCGACGGGGGTGCATTAAGGTTAGGTAGCACTGCAGATGCCTCTCGGGGAGATGTTGGTAGTGTAGTGGATTTGGGTGCAGGGAATGGACACGTGGGGCTGTCTTCAAGGGTGAAGTCGAAGAAGGCAGCTGCATCGCCTTGGTGGTCTAAGGGAAGTGCCACTGCCGATGCGAACATCTCGTCCAGTTCTGGGAAGGAATTGGCGGGGATCGATTCGGGGCAATTGTCGTCCAGAGTTCTCAAAGCTCCGAAAATATCGGGATACGGCGAGCATTGTTCATGAGACGAAAGGATGGAGGAAAGCCAGTTATATCCTACTGAACCTGGATCGTAGCCTGCACCCTGCGGCTCTCTCAACAAGTGTTCCTGGAGACCTAGGGGTGGAGATAATCCACCACCTTTTGGCGTATATGGATTGGTGGTATCACTTGTTTGTGCAGACGTGAATGTCGGACTTGGGGGCACCGTCGTTGTCAAAGCCGAATCTCTTCGTGCTCTGTTTTGTGTTTTACCGGATGTACGACCTGCGCGCTTGGCGGTACTATACACGCAGGGATGATTTCGTTTGGCGCAACGAGCACAGCTTGGCTTCTCTTTTGTGCATCCAAGTTTCGTAGCCGCACACAAATCACAGGACTTGCGCAGCTTGGCAGAGGCTGGTGGATATGCGGTCGGCAGTGGTGAAGTCATGATATGAACGTGGAAGAGCACGGGCAGTAGAGAATGCGATAGGAGCGTGGTGTCATCTTATGTAACACTGCGCAATATACGGAAATACGGCGCAGACTGCTAGCTGTGGTGCCCACTACTTCCCAATCATAACCCGCTGCTTACATAGATCGATCCTAGTAATCTAAGATTACGCCAGCTCCCCAATTCATGAGGCGTAGAGGATTATGCAAGATGGTACTCCAATAGTGCGGGTCACCCGGTGGCGACTTAGCTTGGTTGGCGTACAGCCATCAATAGTTACCTTGGCCAAGTACCATATTCCTCTTAGACTACTCTGTTCGGAGATCCCGGCGATCCCCTAATATATTTGCTTTTTGCAAGAAAAACCTAGTTTTGTTAGGGTGGCGTAGACCAAAGTACTACCCCTCTTTTTAATTCATACTGCATTACTAGACGTCTCATTAAATCACACCTTAAATCATTAGGTATTTTATTTGGATCTAAAGCTTATCTAAAGCTTATATTTTAATCTATTATTCTAGGTAAGGACTTTCGAAGATATTAAGATACTGCCTACACATGTATATATATATAAGTATGTGTGTAAATAGCTAGGTAGAAAAGCTTGAGAACCTCGGTCTGTGCCAACCGTGGATATCCCGCGGAACTGACCGATGGGACTAGTGCGGGACCAACCCTTTCGTGCCATCCCGCCGGACCTAGCGAGACCACGGGGACTGTAACCTTCCAAGATTGGAAATAGTACAAACACAAGTGCTTACATTGGCCTCATTTTAGAACGGATAAATTAATCGATTGGGGCCGTTATTT